GAGATGTGAGAATATAATGAGATGCAAGGATGAAGATCAAGTATTATTTATTATTAAAAACAAGGTGCTGCCCAGGCATGCAAACTGAAGGATTCAAAACACCCCCTTCAATTTATCAATGGTTATAAAGTTAACTTTGTGTGGATGTCACTTGGAATTAGTTGGATTTGACGTTTTCTCAATCAAAACAGGAAGTAATTTATCGGATTATCCCACATATTCATTTATCTTTATCATTTCATTATTAACACTTTCAATATAATACATCTATGCATTAAAAAGTTAAGAAACAGAAATAAACAAGCTTAGAACAATTTCATTAATCCTTCAGGAATGATGTAGGATAAGAAACAAGATTGGATCATCATTGTATGAAAAGACATAAGTTTTAATTAGTGGGGCCAGGCTTAATTAACAGGCTTAGCAACAAGGGATTAATATCAAGGCTGCTTTGCAAAGAACCAACATATAATGGATATCATGATTGAAAAGGGTGGATTTTTAAACCTGAATCCTTCATACAATGTCAAAATGATTTTAAGTTGGTGCTACGTCTGTAGTATAGGATAATCCTATCTTTGCATTTATTAAGATCCTAATAGGAAAAAACATTTTTTTTATACTGAGTGATTCATGCTATATATATTTTTTTAATGTGTTAAATAGCTGTGTAGGCAAGAGACTTTTGATTATCTGAGGTAGCAGTTATCTTTTTTATTTGATGAATATGAATGCTAAGCAAAGGAATGCAAGCAACAAATCTAAGGCTTACAGCTGTCATCATCAGATAATCTAGCTTTTCATCAAGTGACATTTCCAGGGACAAATCACAAAATAAATGCTCGTTTATTCACAATTTTTTACATGGTGACTCATTCCCTGAATTTATGTAATTAATTCAATTACTGAAGGAAAATTGATTTGTAGTGGAATTATGAGTCAAAATTAGTGATGGGTTTTCTCTTTACTCCTTTTTCTTCTCAATTGTTTATCTTTTTCCATTTTCTATCATCTTGGGCCTAGAGGCAAAGAACCGGTCACTAGGATTTTTATCATTAGCCTATCCCACTTGAGATGGGCTGATAGCTACCAGTAAGAGTGGTTGCCATGGAAATGAGAGAATAATTGGGAGGCTTTTTCAACCCAAACATGTTACCCAAGGGCTTTATCCTACACCTATTCCTCAGAGAATGTAATTTCATTTGGCTGAATCTTCCTGTCTATCTCAAATCATATTGTGGTGGAGACTGTCAAAATGAGCTGGTTTTTAAAGCCCCCCCCCTCTCTCTCTCTCTTTCTTTCTATTTATTTCTGTCTTTCTCTATGTCATATTTTGCTACATGGTACATTTTGATCTCCCCTTTCTTCCAAATCATCCATTTTCTCATTGGATTATTGTTTTGAAATTATTTAGTTGTGTGCTTTCTAGACTTGTCAAATATCAGATTCTATTCATTTGAGCCAGACATGATTTTATGACTTATATGATTCACAGAAAAATATGACTTTGTTTGATATTCTTTATTCTATTGATAAGAGCACCTCCCACTATGTATTGACATTGATCAGTTTAATATGTTTGAGCTTACAAGACTGGAGTCATATTGATTGCACACAAATTAGAGAACGAATGCGCCTCTCTCTCCTTTTTGTGGGTAGTATCTATCGTGGGTCCTTTTTTCATTCTATATCTGCTTGTTCTATAGAAATCTAGTCGTTTCATCATCACACTTTCGATCTGGCTATCTATCTGTCTGCCTACATGTATGTCTTCCTCCCTGTCTTTCTGTCTGACTGACTCTCTCTCTCTCTCTCTCTCTCTCTCTCTCTCTCTCTCTTTCTGTCCCCGTTCCTGTGTCTCTGTCTTTATCTCTACCCTTTCTTCTTCTGTATTCCTAGTAATCTTTTTAACTTGGTCTCTTCTCTCTCACATGATTTGTGATCAATATGATCACTGTGTGTCTCTGATACCTCCCTCTCGAGCTATCTTGAATTATTAGGAAGAAAAGTAGATAATAGAACAATAATGTTGTATGAATGACAGTATGTTAGCCAAATCTTAAAAAGACAGTTCAAAATTAATGCCATGCTTTTCTGTATAAAACTAAATGAGATTTATTTGGCTAAATCAGGGTTCCCTCTTTCCACCAGTCATTGACCTTGCTATGATAACAGAATCCCCCTCTACCAAGTCTTCCATTTGTATCCCCTGAAGGGGTGGCTGTGGTTATCCTATTATTACCAATGATATGAATCATTAATGCGCGCACTCATCATTTACATAGGCGGCTGCAAAACAAACCACAATAAACCGACAATAGATTAGAGATTCACTGGCTCCAACACTGTACCCAATGAGCCGCATCAAGCATCTGAGTGATTTTATAGCATTCTTTCTTAAATTAGACCATTGAATTTTTTATTCTTCAAATTGTTGAGGTTTTATATAAATTCAACAAAGAACTATTTTAGAAGTATTTTATGTTTCCTTTATCATAGCTATGAGATGCAGTCATGTCGAATATCTAATATCATCGCAAAGGTGAAATATTGTTGACTCAGAACGAGATGTGGGGTCATAATTATGCAGCATTGTTAGTTTGTAGACAGGATGGATTATTAAACATGCAATTGTTTTCAATTAAGGGAAGGTTATACGCACCCCATTTAACGACACCAGTTCAGAGTTTCTATTCTTGCTTGAATTGTACAAAAATATGTATTTGATTAGTCCCCCTCTTGGCATTCTTTAAACACTAGGTTATGCTGATCACTTTATACCTAGTTATCCAACTGTCCTTTAACAATTATATCCTATTGTGATTGTAAATGCAGGTTCATGCAGGATAAATAGTTTATTATATTTTATCTCAATAAAAATCTTTTCTCTGCTTCTCTTTGCGAAGTTTCACAAATCCTCTTGAAGAGAGACCTGTAGATTTCAGTTGTGTGCATCCTAAACGAAATCATAGTGTCCTTCTATTCTGAAAGCCATCCCAGTTGGACTCCATCCCTATGATGAACAGGTTGAATAGACCTTAATTTCAACCAACCTATAGTTACTCCATACACAATGCTTTATTATCAGGTTGTGAGAAAGGACAAGATGAAGTGGGTATTGTGATTGTCCAGGATGTTGAGAGCCAGTTCTTACCAGGAACACGTATTATCTTCACTATATAACTGAGAAAGATTTATTTGGTTATACCACTTCAACTCTTTGTCATATCATTGGGGTCTGTTGACATGATCTGACTGCCATTGCTGGAGTGTTGGCATGTCTCGCCCAACCTACTTTAGTATTTTTCCCCGTGGAAACACATTTTGATGATCCAATCTATAGGATGTTTAATCTGTTGATGATTACTAATACAGGGCTCCACACTCGCTTTTATCTTAATAAGAACTCCAGATTGCAATTTCTGCTATCCATATTCATACACCTCCCCTGTCTAAATGTTTGATTTTTTAGTTTGCAGAGTTGCAATTCAGCGGTCCGCGTGTGCCGTAACACTGTCGAATCCTATCACAAGTACTCAGTGCAGACAGCATGGAAGTACATGTATGAAAGGTGCTAGGAGTTTCATAACATTGATGGAGAAAAGATTTTTTTTTTGATGAGGTTTGTTATTACGATTTAAGGTTTAACTTCTTCAAGGATGTCAGATAGAAATGACAAATTGATCATCTTGCCACCCTCGTTGTATTATCAACTAGAACTATAATTGCCAATTTGAAGAAATAGGATTATCGCAAACACCTTTCTCACCAGGGTTCTTTTCATTACAAGTGTGTTAATTCCATTATTGATTTTTCTCCTTTAATTCTGCGCCTCTTTATGTATTCCTTTGTTGAATATTTCACAACAACTTCCTAATGAAGGCACCTTACAGGACACGTGACTTCAGAGTTAATTCCTTTTCAAGAAGTGCTTGCTTGACTGATATTCATTGATTTGCTATGGTCCAGGTGTATACAGAGCCAGGGTCAGAGGAAAGTTACCTTATTGTAGATGTAAGAAATGAGGGCTACATGTAGATCCCTCTCCCTTTCTTCCATCTCTTTCACAGGTTTTTTTTTGTATAGCTTTAATATTAAATACCTTATGTGGAATGTGATTGAAAGTGAAAGGAGATGGTATTTTTGAAGAATGGTTTAAGTATATACTTTGTCCATACAAGGCCTCTGAGTTGCCAACATAATGTCGGAGGCTCTATAATTTTTTACTGGTGAATATTTTCTAAGCAATCTCATTCTCATTCCTTAAATATCTGAGTCTCATTAGATCCAGTCTCGCCCCCACCCCTAACAAGTATAAGAATAAAAGTTTTCAGAATGACAGGAGGCAACTAGAAAGAAAGATTCTGAGTACAAGGATATACTTTGACAGGTTTTGTCTGGTTTTGTCTTCTTTTGTAAGAGAGTTGACATGAAGAGAGGATAAGACTTGATGGACAGTGTGTGTGGTCAACTTCTGATCTCGTGCTGGAAGAGATGGATCTACTGCTGATACTAGGACAGCAGTCACAACAAGATAGTTCTCCAAGCTCCTGTACTTTCTTCTTCTAGCCCTTACACAATACCCAACACCAAATTGTGACATCATTATCCCAGGAATTATTGGTTATATGTCAAGTGTGACATCAGTTAAGAAACTTATTAGCTAGGTGAAAAGAGGACCAACCCAGTCTTATCTAAAGGAATACACTTAATCCTCCTTTAAACCCTTAAAAACCTTTCACAAAAGGGCTTTGGGGACTTTTGAAAGAGAAAAAAAACACTGTCCACTGCGTGCAGTTATTATTAAATTGTTACAAAGTCACTACAGCTTACAGCGTGTCATGGCTTCTTCTTTTTAACCACTCAAAGAAGTTTTTGCCTGTAGCTTTTGATGCGGTTAACCTCGTCAATTACTCACAATATTGTTCTTGGGTGGTTGAGGTTTTTAACATTATTCAGCAAAATTCAGACACAGAGAGCAGGGGCATGCATGGCTACCTTTAGGTCTGAAAGGGCCCCCTCTTTTTTAATTCGCCAATTGGGGAACAGTAGCTCGTCTTGCATTATTCTGGCTGGTGTAAGGCATGAACAAGCATCGGTTTTGAAGACCCACAAAAAGGCACGTAGTCCTTTTTTCTCAATTCTATTGTCTGAGCGTTCTCATTGTGCTGGTGTGTTTTATTTTCATTAAGGGAAGCAGAGAGTGTTCATTCAGTTCAGTCCTGATTGTGATACGAAACGGACCAATTTTGGGATTCGTCCTCAGACTCTCTTCGGCTTCCAGTCCACCGTAGCTCAGGATTTTATACTCTTTGGAAAGTTTGGAGTTTGACTTGTTTTTGAAAGGATTGAGTAACTTGGAGGGATTCATGTAGAGGAAGCTGTCCTCGTTGCTGGTGGTCATTCCGTATGTGATAAACTGATAATGGTTCGATTCATCCAGGAGACTCTTCCATCACTTGGATCTTCAATAACTGCTATGTAGGTCATCTCACAAAATTCTATTTTAAACCAACTTTCAAGTAGTCCTTATCAATGCTTTTATCTTGTTTCATGTTTATTTCTCTTTAGAACTTCTATTAACTGTGTAAAAGGGAAAGTACTATTTATGTGAACACTTTCGTCATTTTCTGTTACTCTAAATTTGAATTAAACTGTTGTGTGTAGTTTCTTGTATCAAGTGCATGCAAGAGAAACATTTTTTATGAGTTTGATTGAATTATGGTCATATTGACAGAGAACAATGACTGAATAATACCTTACATGTGCTCAACTTTTTAGTAAAGTTGTGTCACCTACAATTAGGAGTGCTAATAACTTAATTGAAAATGACACAGTCCTCAACATAACTATTAGATGTGCATCAATTGATTTCCGCATCGTGTGTTGAAACCTGAATTCACATGAATTGTAGGACTTGCATTCAGTTTTACTGCTCTAGCGGTAACCGTTCCTGTTTAGGAAGTATTTGAGTTTCGGTTCGTGTGGTAGGGCTTAGTGTTCCAGAACACTCGTTTGTTAACTAAAATGTTGTCTGAGGGGATCTAATTTTGTTACATAGTTTTGTCTAACCTTGTATGAGTGTGTGCGGAGGAATGGTAGCCTTTTCAAGCCCGGAAATTCGTTTTGTTTGATTACATTTAGGAATTTCTTTCATTTACGAGGCCATGGGGGCATATTTGCATTAATTAGAAATTGTGTCAGTTATTCATCATCTTGTGACGTATGTTCAGAGTGATGAATAAGGAAATGATCTTGAATGTAAATGCATCTTAGTCATGCATTTCTTTTCATTTGGTTATGTTTTATCCTCAGATTATTACAACTTCAAGCACACTCCATCGAGATATAAATCATAGATGTAATGCGATTGTTATTATGCTCCCTATGAATTGATGTGTTGTATTTTTGCTATGGGATTGCTTGGATCTTCATGACCTCTATAACATATCTGAAATGCCTATATTTTGGGGTCAAAAGGCAAGAACAGAGAAAATAGATGTCAAAATAATTTGTATAAATGATTAAATGTGATTTTCTGAGCTATAAGAATATGTCAGTTTGGATCCTGTGCTTGCTGTAAATATTAATACCATATGATGATAATGATCATTTCATTTTTTTGTTTCTTTTATCCAGGGCTGCACAGAAACTGAACCTAAGCTCCAAAAAGAAAAGGAAAGGGAGTATACCCATCATGAATACACCCGAGCCCCCCATCATGATGATGCAGCCCCCAGAGCAACCAATCTTTCCCACCAACTTCAGCAGCATTATCCTGAGGAACCCCCCTCCTGCACCGCCCTCATTGCTTCGTAATGTGAACAGGGTTAAGGAGCACCCAGGCGTAGGCAAGGTGAGAAGCGTACAATAGCTTGTCCATGTATTGATTAAGGTGTGCGTTTGAGGTGTGGTCAGAGGTGTGGTCAGAGGTGTGTTGAGAGGTCATATTGCTGTCTTGTATTTGTCCACCTTACAGCTCATAGAAACTTTCTTCATCTGTACTTATATGACAGTTTTTATCGTATGAGGACCTTTAGGAACAATTTTTTATAAACCCACATTGCAGAAAGGACAGAAATTGATTTTTTTTCTCTGTCTAAAATATGCATTTTTTCCCCCTTATAGACAATAAGTCTCTGTAAGTATTGAGAAGAAATTTGGCAAGAGATAATTGCAATGACTCAATGAAGAGGGGGTGAAAATAGCTGAGATGGGTGAAATTGATTTCAATCAAAATCTGAAAACATTTTTGACATATATATGCCTCTAGCTGACATCTTCAATATTAAGCTTAACTACCTTAAGAGTAAATCTAAGAAAATTGGGAGGAAAAAGTTACATAAATACTGCTAAACTTTCTTTCAATATTGAAATATGTACACTTGAGGGTGATTCATATCTTGGGGATCGATACATGTGATATACCTTTAGGAAGAGTTGTGTGTTTTTTACTGGAGGTAATAGAAATGAAGATGGCTTGAATTGCGCAGACGTTCCGTTGAGATGGCGACCCTGAAACAACAAACAGAACCTAGTATCCAATTGAAGAGACTAGGATATGGAGTCTGCCTGTCAACCAAGTATCCACAAATGTGACGACTTGACTGATGAAAATTACTTGTCCTTGTATCCTGGATGCGAGCGGTCAATCCATCTTCCGTCGCAAGATCACCTTCAAACCAAACGTAATCTTCGCCAAACCAATCACAGCGTCACCCGAATCCTCTTTAATTTTCGTTAATCAAGCGATTGCGATTAGGAGCTGTCAGAGGTGTCAGCGCTGGACCCGAGACCCTCTGAATCATCCTTGATGACACAAGGAAAATACCAGAGAGGATGACAATTCGGAGAAGTTCCTCCCAAATTAAAATGGATGGGGGGGAAATCATTGTTTTTAAGTGGATTATGTGAATTTGTTACTCATGGGCAGGGTGTTGATAGATGCGGTAGACAATGGAGAAGAGGAGAATGAGAGATTCCGTTGCGGTGAGAAAATGAATCCGTATTCTGGTGTGATGTTAGTGCAGGCTGGTAGTGAGTAAACACTTGTAGCCATACTCCATTGCAACAGTCATGGATCATTCTTAGTAAGGAGAAATGGGGTGCTTGGGATTAATCCAATCTTTTCTCAACCTCTTATTAAGCACACTCATTTTGTGATTCATCTGATTATGCTAGAAAGGTTATTGTTTTCCAGTACATCATGCTATTATTTATTTGTGTGCACTTTCTTAAAGGTATAAATGGGATATGATCGAGTGAAAGAGTGATTCAATTAAAGAATTGATGTGCTCAGTTGTGTACAGAACGTTATTGTATTAAAAGGAGCACCCATTGTTGTCCCCTATGTTATTCGTCACATTATGGGTGATGTGCAATTTGATAAGTGGATGGAATATTGAATTGTATGGTTCTCTGTGTCCGTGAACACTCGATCCAAGGATAAAGATGTGGGTTCTTACCTGTAGGCTAAGTGGCCCGGGGGGTCATACCAGTCCGAAAGGGATGCTCCAACACACCTAACTAATCTGTCAATCATCTAGGGAATAATTGATCTTGTAAATATAGTTAAGTACCGACCGCACTCTCTCTTAATCAATTCAAACAATTAAGCGTGTACTTTTCTTCCGACATGGCTGGAACACGAGGCTCCCATTGCCTTCCGGCTATTTAGCCTGCTTGGGGGTGACTCTCACGTAGTACCTCAGGCTCAGTCAGCATGGACTGTGTCTCCCCTGTATTTACTGCGTAAATCTTAAGGAGAATGCTAGCAAGGGTTAAAGGAGGAATGGGATAGGGGGTAAGGCGGGTGTATTCTAATCTCCCTGGATCAATATTAGGGTATTGTCCAGCCGTCATTCTCACGGACAAGCCATCCACTAATCAGGCATGCTGCAAGCCAGGGGGGATAATGATGAAAATGATCGTGATTAAGAAAGAGGTTGACTGTCCTTTTTATCATTTACAAGTGATTCATACCTTGAAGGCACTAGCTCTCTTCATAGGCCAATGTGATGGAAAGCTGGACATGACGTGTGAATTAAACCAGCAGTGCTCTGGTAACAACAACAAAACAAAGGAGGAGCCACGTACAGTACCAGGAAAGATGGGGCTTTTCTGGTCTGTCTCCTTGCCACGTCTTTGACTTGACGTCTTAGCTGTGCACACCCATGCAGAAAACATCTTCATTAGTCATGTCAAATCGACCAAGAGGATTAATAGTGTTCACACGCATGTCCAACAGAGCTGTCTCTTCTTGTGCCCATTCAAAACAAAACACTACCTAAAGTAGTTCATGAGAAAAGAAAATACAAAAGTGTAAAGTAAATTTTATGATTAAGCCAATATAAGGTCAGACTTTGTATTTCTACGTGTCTGCAAATCTTTGTAGACCAACCAATGTAACAATCGCTTCATGCTGTGAGTGGTATAGACAGTGTGTCTCCAGACCACCCCTGACAACTCTTTGATCAAAACGTGAGAACAGCAAACCTAATCAAAGTGATTCCATTCAGAAAAATTGTGATTCAATTTTGAAAGGTATCATAGTGGGCACCAGTCTGACATCACCTGCATGTGCCCTGGGATAGAGGGAGTCTGTTATTGACAGGGATACGGGAGATCAAACAGACAAATGAAACGCCCATAGTCTTAGCATCCTGTCGGTACTGTGAGGTGGAAGATAGTCCCAGGGGGGTGGGAGATTAAATGGAAATTAAAACTCAACTTGTATAGAAACATTTTCCAATTATTGCAATCTAGATATTGAAGTTTACCGTCTTAAAAGGGGCTCCTGTAAGTGTTTTAATAAAAAAAAGGAGGATAAAAAGCAATGTACAGTCATGAGATATTGATTTCGTCTACTGTATCATGTTGAGATGACACATTTAAATAAGGTTCATGAAAATAAGACAAGATTATAAAAAATACATTTTCTTTCTTCAAGTATTGGACATGGGCCTGTAAGTGATCTGCAGAATCAGGTTATTGATTAAAACATTACTTAAATATTATAATTATTATCCTCATTTAGGCAAATTCTTTTTCTTTACTACTTAAAAAGAAATGAATTATGGATTGGGGATTAAAAAGCTCATGTATTAGATTTAGGATACACTGATCATATCAGCTGCATGCCAGTGTATTTTCAGCGGATTTTCAGTAGGAGACGGAGACAAGTGATAAAGAAATAATATCCTTTCATCCATGAATAGCAGAGCCACTACTAACACCAGGATTGATTTGAACAGTTGACAGGTGCTAAGCATGCTGGGCAGGCAGGCAGCATTACCGTACCACTCACACCCGATCACATTTACCATTACCATTACGCACCTTACAGACTGGAGACTGAACAATACAAACACTGTGGTTAACACAATCAGCTGGGCTGTCTCTAAAGAACACGTTCAATATTGGCCATTTGTTGTGCCTAAAGAAATCATTCAAAAATTGATCGTATGTAGAATAGTAGTATAGCTAATTGTAACTAAATTGTTATTATTATCATCTTTTTTTAATGAAAGAGGTTTACTGCTGCCATTGATGTTCTATAGATTGCATTCATTGTAACTATTGTGTATGTAGGATGATTGAAATCAATACTATTCAGGAGGGAAAGAATAATAGCTCTAAAATCAAGCTTTTGTACATAAGACTGAAACAAAAATTCCTCCTTCTGTCTCTAAATTACCGTAAGTATATGCACTTGAACTTTTTGGGAACAACCTTCCTCCCCATATTCCTGTTAGTACTTGTGATGCTGCAGAGTATCATGCTCTTGTGATGACATTCTATCAGATGTACTTCAATGTTTAGCGAGCCGTGAATGTCACCAGCCACTTGATGCCAAGCCCAGAATATTTGTACCATCTTATTCTGTTTTCGGAATATCTTCACTTTTATTTTTGCTGTTGTTTTTTTATCATTTCTTTGGCTGAGAGTCTCCAGTGTCCTCTGATGTTGAATAGTTTTCATGCTACAAGAGCCCACATCCATGCTATTAGTATCAACATCAAGAGATATGAATACATGCCTGCAAGTGATACATAACCGTTCTGCAAGACTTGTATTTCCCTGGTGACACTGCCCTCTAGAGTACCGCCCCTGTTTCAAATTTGATTCTAGAAAATATTCCTCCCATTACTACTCTCGATGGCATTCAATTATGAATCTTTGAATGTGTAATTAATAGGTACGTGGCATTCCATAGTACTGATTTAAACGATGGCATCGACCTTTTGCTTCAAATATTATCAAGTCATTTGTATACGGTAATCCCACCTGAAATACTAGAACCTTTCAAGAGTGCTCTATACCATAACTCTTGCTCTCTCTCTCTACGACTCTACCTAAATCACAGCTGGCTCCTCGTCTCTCTACAGACTGCAGGACGGTGTTGCAATTCACACCAGGGTAGAGCCACTCAGAAAATTCAATATTACGTGGAGCTCATAGAATTGTGCTATCCGCTCTAGTTTAGAGATTGCTTTGTAGTGAGATCAGAGACCTGTATAGGGATATCTCTGGAGTTAGGTGAATTGCATGTAACTGATCCTCAGTTTACTTTGTATTTTTTTGCAACCTGTATTTCGTGTTTCAATTTTGTTTTTTTCATTTATTGATATAGAATGAACTCTTGAACTTGTTAGTAAGTCTCTCATCTGAGTGGCAATACATTAAAAAACATACAGATATTTATGGGGAACTAGTACCTTTTTGCCTCATGTTTTGACAGTACTCTTTTTAATAACAAAAAAGCATTTTATGAAGTTTGATAAGCAGGTTATGTGAAATGTGATTCTCCTCATATTTGAAAGGCCCCCTCTCACTATGCATTATGGAGTTAAAATC